TATTCTACTGCTCGAATTTTTAACACAATTGAAGAAGACCTATTAGTTACTTATATATTAAAATCTCCAAAAATAAATTACGATTTAACATACACCCAAATCAGAATTTTGGCTTATGATTATGCAAACCCGAAAACACCAGCCTTAGCCAAGCTACCAGTTTTACAAAAGAAAATGTTGGGAATTTTTTTGACAATTATGAACATTAATTACTATTTAACTGGGAATAAGCCACAATTAAAGATAAAAATACGTTTTTGTATTGTGTCGCAAATTCCTCGGCAGAATGTAGTAGGATCTGGTTACCAATATTGAAAGAGGAAGTTATTAATAAGAAAATACCAGTATTAGTAAGTCAGTAACATATACAGGATACATCATTTATGTTTTTTAAATAACGAAACATATAAAATCAGAATTTTGGTGTTTATTGAAGGTAAACTAAATGCACGAACAAATACTTACCAGTTCGGGATAGTATTATGAGGTTTTTTTCCTGGTTTTTTCCTCATAATTTACTATGGAATCACTAACAGGAGAATTTTACTGTCATCATGTCATGTGTTTGTCTTTTTAAAGACGAATTATATGCTATGATTTTTTCTGACCGATATTCTCAAGTTAAAGTTGACTTCATGTAATCGAATGAACTATTTATAAGTAAAGTCGTCCCAGGAGCGCAACTCAACAATATTGGCAATATCATTTTAAATGATATATCAAAATACTGTTTGTATTTTGAGAACGATTTCCGAAGTGGAAATTGAAACGTCAATAAACGTATTTTTATCTTTAATTGTGGCTTATTCCCAGTTAAATAGTAATTAATTTAAAATGCCACAAGAAAATAGCTTCAGAACAAAATTATGAACATGCTCTTTCAACCCAAGATTTTACACCTGAGAGGATCTATAACTTAGATGAACTTAGAGCACTTTTCTGCAAGCTTCAAACATTGTAACGAAAAAAGGGAATCGAATAAGTTGGTCAATAGTTTCAGCAGAGAGAAGCACCCTGATCACTATGTGTGAGATAATTAATGCATTAGGAAATGCTGTGCCTCCGGTGTACATATTTCCAAGAGCCCATTTTCATGATACAATATTGAATGGAGCTCCCATGGGAAGCCTGGTGTTGGCTAATTCGCCAAGTGGCGAATTCCTTGGATGGATGACCAAGGAACTGTTTCTCAAAGTTCTTAATCACATTAAATGTTATACAGAGTGTTTTTCTGATTTCCTAATTTTATGATTGATGAAGAATGACGATCTTGAATCCATAATGTTTGCACTTGAAAATAGTATTCTATTAGTTACTTTTCCACCCCACACCTCACATCGCCTTCAACAGCTAGATGTAGAGGTTTATTCGTCATTTACATCAAAACTTGCTGTTGCTATGAACAAATGGATGATAATGCATTCTGCTCGAGCAATTACCATACATAGCTTAGCAGCTATTACAAACACTGAATACACTTCTTTATTTATCATGAAAAATATAGTTGAACATTTTAGAAAAACGGGCACTTGGATCCTAAACTCTCTTTTATTTTCAGATGATAATTTTGACTGTGCTTTTGTTACTGACTGGCCAACATTAGGAAATAATGTACACAACTCAACAGAAGCTGTTCTATCTATATCAACCCCAATAACAACTGAAAATGCACAACCTTTCCCAAAGGCTGCCTCGAGAAAAAATATTAGAGCACGAAAAAGGGTTAATCTAATGTCTATACCTTAGATACTGAGGTACTTATTGTGGTTTTTCACATTTGTATATTTTATTGTGTCCTTTCAATAATAAACTGTATTTTTTGGTTTGATTTCAAAGTATTTTTAGGTGATTCAAATGCGCCCCTTCTTAGTTAAAAGCCACCCCTATTCGGACACTTTGAACATTTTTCTTATATATACCTTCTTCCCATATATACCTTCTACCCATATTCTAAATATATACCTTTTAAAAGGGATTTTTAATAAATTTTTTAATATATGGTATACAGCCAACTACAGGAACGTAGATTCCTTGTGGATTTTTCTTATGATATGTGAAGTTAATTTTTTTGTATGTTCAGATAATTTCTTGGTAAGTTTGATAGACAATAATACATTATTAGATGTGCTAATGTTGTTTGCAATACCTGATATAAATAATTTTAGGCAAAGTAAGTTATAATACATTTAAAAAAATACATTTAAAAGTGCCCCCTCCTCCCGTTCAACTAAAAGTACAGGTTAAGGTCAATAATGTCAAAAAAATGTTAAGGTTGCAATATGTTTAAATGTCTCCACACAAACAATAACCAAAAACATATCCAATTTTGTTATTATTACAAGGAAAAACTAGATAATATGTTAATCATTTGTAGTTTCTGTAGTTAGGTAATCCCTGGGGATTCTCAGAGTGATTGCAGCATTGCTATTTAAATAAGATTAATATGTAAATAATGACATGAACAATCGAGACTTTGAACAAGAGAATAATCTACATGTTAAATAAAAATGTACAAATTCTAGACTTGACTAGAGATATTTCTCCTAAATTTAGAAAATATAAATTAAACTAATCTTGACATAATATGATTGGGATATTAAAAATTAAAGAAATCCTGAAAATTGATATTAAATCAGTATTAAAATGCAAAAAGTACTTGAGTAAAAAAAAATATTTAAGTAATAAAATGGAAAAAATCCCAGTGGTTGGCTGTATCATCATCAAAGCCTTTTATTTTCACTCTTAGACTTCTCTGATCTGCTTATTGTGGTGAATTACACCGCATTCTTCCAGTGCATTGTCAAAATGTGTTGTACTTACAATTTTCTTTCACTTATCTCTATCTGTGCATAGTTCTCTCTAGTTTCTCACATTCAGGATTTTGATATCTCTCATGACCTGGTCCTCCTATCTCCCTCTAGGTTTTCCGTCCTTTTATTAATTTCTTAATTTCCCTATTCTTATTATATTCTGCACTTCTTTTATTTTGCCCTTCACAATTACTCCCAAATATTTAAATCTCTTCTTTCTTTCAAAAGTGTAGTTTTCTATTTAGCTTTTTCTTATCTTGTTACCTTCTCTTCTAGAGCAGAGTAGATATTTTGTTTTCTATTGATATAATTCTGCCTTTTTTTTTCATCTGTGCAAGGTGTTTTTTTCTGTTTTATTTTTTTAATGTGTAAATATTCATCATATGTTGGTATCCCTATTTCATTATCTTTCATATATTCTGTTGTACATTCTTCCTCTTCAGGCTATACATATTTGCATTTATCTAGTTATGAGAAGTGTGTTTTCCATGATTCATTGTCAATTTTAACCCCTGGTTTGCATTTTCTTTGTTGAGTATTTAGTCGAAATAGTTTAGCACTGCCATTACCATTTTTTTGAATGAAAAGAGACTAAGAGCCCCAGAGATGGACTATTGAAGACAAACAGAGGGAAAATAAAGACAAGAAAGGATCACAAATAAAAGATCATACAAATTATGGAGGTAAAACATGACATAGACGAAATCTGAATGAAACAATTATTATGATATGGACATGTACAAAGGATGCTCAATCAGATAATCCCAAAGACAGCTGTCTTTCTTTGAGAAACAAAGTAATTAGAATGGAATCCAAAAGGAAGGAGAAAACCAGGAGTACTATGGAACAGTTTATGAGATGACTTGATAATAAGATAGTAGTGTCTGGAAGATGACATGTAGAAAAATAGAGAGAAATGGAGATAAGAATTCACAAGTCATCGGCACAGATATAATATGAATAAATAATTTTGTCACTTTTCAACAAATTTTTATAAAAATCTGATGGACAGATCTCTTATTGAGCATTTCAGTTATCTCCTTTCTATCAGACTCCCAAGCATCAGTTAGAGACAGTTCAAAATACTTTTTTAAGATTTATTGCATTTAAACATAACACTAAAAAGAGAATTATTGTCATAGGATTGTCTCAGAAATTTCATGAAACTTAACACATTACAATAAAGAAGAATAATAGATGATCCATACTTTATTTTTAACTTAATTAATAGTCCAAATCACCAACTGTCCAGAAATCATAGACAAAATTGAATTAAACATACCTCTTAAGAATTGAAATATAAAGTTTTTAGTTCGTATTCATCCAGCAAATTACGACTTACATTCTAGTTGTAACAAAACAATATATAATTATAATAAAGCTTTAATTACCTACTTCATATTTTTGAATGGACTATAGTTAGTTTTAAGTGGGTCATATTTTTTTGTAACTCAAAGAAATAAATGTCATAAAATTTCTTTTATATATAAGTACTATGTTTTTAAAAGGTAGGTATGGTATGTACATAGGTGTTTATGAGTATCATATTTATTATTAGATATTCAAATTGCAGAATGGGTTTCCCATAAATTTTCTAAAATAAAATAAAGATAAACATGGCCTATGCGCAGTTTAATCAAAGAATATAGAGGCATATTGCATAGAAATATATGCGTCAATATTATTTGGTTTAATGCCAAGTCATATACTGTGGCCTAGGTATCTATCCAAGATAGAACTGAGCATCTAACAAATATTTCAAATTTCAGCTTGTATTTACCATCCCCTATTACTCTTAGTATTACCACATTTTTTAGTAAAACAACTAAAACTACATAAAAATACAAAAGAATTGCGGGGCAGGTGAAATCATAATTTAACCAAATATATTATTATATATTTGTATATTATAGCAACCCTAACACCATTTATATCTTAAATCATTTATTTTAATAGACACAATTCACATAATTTTAGAATGACTTAGTTTTTACTTTGTCTATTCAATAAAAATTCTTTATAATTATTTATAGTATAAAATACTTATGTACCTTGTAGGATAAGTATCTGATAGGATAAATAGGTACCAATAAAGTTCTTGCAGATAATTTGAGATAAGCAAATTAATGTTTTTGGGGTAAAACCATTTTGTTAAGATTGTTTATATAAAATACAAATTTATTAGCTAACCTTGATGACCCAGTAAAACTACTTTGCCAACTATATGTTTCATTTTCCATTAACATCAGTTTTTTAGCACCAACACAAAACCCCTGCAGTGCACTACAAAATTTGTTTCTATACTTTCTGTTGTTTACGTAAATCAGATGGTGGTATTTTACTGCAATGACAGTTCCTATTTCCAATACTCATGCGCAACGCCATATAGTTCATCTCTGTGGCTTATAGTACAAGAGCCAGGAGCTAGACATTTTAGAAAAGAAGTTCTTGTTAGTTTTCATTTCGTTTCGGTAAAAACGATAAACGAGTGTCAGATAAAGTAGTAATTAAAATACACAATTTTGACATTCTTTTGAGAATATTCTGTTGCAGCTTCATAACAAAATGAATTGTCAAATACCAATAAAAAATGGCCTTTGTTTTTGTAGGCGATTTTACTAGGTATGTAGATATAATTAAATAGAAACAAACTGGATTGCAGCAGCTAGAGATAGAGAGAACTGGAGACGTTTGGAGGAGGCCTATATCCAACAATGGATGTGAAAATTCGGCTGGATGATGATGATGATGATGATGATGATGATGATGATGATGATGTAGATATAATTTGAACAAATCGAGACCTACACTACAGAAACCTAGTAGGTAAAATATTAGCTAACAAAGGTCAGAAACAAGTCAGTCAGAAACAGAAACGATTGTAAGAGCTGAAAGAGGTTCCAATAGAACAGTAGGATACGCAATATCAGCTTCATAAAATTATATTCCGCCTTTTTTCCATTCACTCCATTAAATTATGCCACCCCTTCTACTGAAAAGAACACTTGCTGTTGTTAGTAGACTATGCAAATAAGTCTGGTTGGATGAACAAAGACAATTATCTCATATATCTGGATCATTTTAATAAATTCGCAATACCTACTAAAAATTTTAATTTCTGCTAATCTTGGACGGCCATATTAGTTACAGACAGCTAAAATCTTATTTATAGGCTAGAAAAAATAACACAACTCTTTTAAGAATCCCTCCACACTGCTCTCATCGTTGGCGGCCGTTGAATCTTTGCTTTTTAGACCAATAAAAAAGTAGTATTCACGTGATTACTTCGTATCTTTGAGGCTGTTGCTTTAAATAATTGGTTAGATGTGCACTGGAACCAGTCTTAAATTGCGCATCCAAGATATACGTCATCTCCCCACGCTTCGTTTGCTCTGAATGAATACCAATATTAAAATCCACCCTTTCCCAAAAATCACGAAAAAAGAAAAGCCACAAACAACGACACGCCCCCTTACACAGAACAATAAAAGGCCCCCCAATGGCCCCATCTATCACCCAAAACACCCTAAAAAGTTCTTCCTCTTATCGAGGTCACGTAAAATCCTGGAGACCCAGAATCAAAAAAACTTCACATCCCGCCTGTCCTAATGCAGGCATGCATTGACGAACTTCCAGGTGAATACGCTGACATCCTTGAAGCTACTCCGCTAGCCTATCGAACTATCTAATTCAATCCTACTTCCTTACCCCGGACAGGGGGAGATTGGTTTTTTGAGGTTTCCCAATATCACTACTCAATGATACCCGTCCGTCCCTGAGAAAATAGCCGCAACTATTTTCTCACCCGAATCGGCCAATGCTGAATCCGTCTATCGAACTTCGACGAGGCCTGACCGTTAGCGAAATCGACCAATATCAAGAATTTTAATACAATACACTAGTTCTGAAGTTGGTTGCAGACGCACAAACGGCTTACAGAAATAATGGTCACATAGAAAACATGGTTTTCGCCTTTGCCGACCCATTTCGCACAGATTCGCACACATTCACACTCAAACATACTCACAAAGTATACACTCACACCAGCCTGACAGTGAAAGGGGTCCTCTTTCTGCTACCGAAGCATCCTCGTCGCTGGTAAGTAATATCGAAATGTTAGCGTCTATCACTGTCGGACTAACACACACAACATGAAAAAAATAGCGATTTTCAAAAATTTCTTCTCTTGCTAGAATCACACTTTAAATTAATTTTATATTCACCAATTGCTATAACACTAGTTCATCATCAAATAAGTTCACTAAATAATTTTAAATTATACACTCATACCTAAAAGAAGAAGAAATAAATCCAGAGGAACTTGGAAATAGGGAATTAATGAAACAATACAGATATGTGAAAATCTACAAGAAAATGAATGGTCAGATTCATTTTCTTGTAGTCAGAAAGAAAAAATAGAAAAATAATACATAATTTCTTATTTTCACTTTGAAGAAGGTTAAGTATATATATATATATCTATATATATATATATATATCTATATATATATATATATATATATATATATATATATATATATATATATAAAACAATGGTAAAATAGAAAGATAGTATATTAAAACTATCTCACTAGCAAGAGAGAGTACCTATACTATAGAGGAGAAAATACTACCGAGCTTACATAATTCTCATTTTTAGAAAATGTGGCTAGCTCTTATACTAATAGCTGCACTTGTTGATTAGATTAAGATTTAACTGATTCTAGGTAGCCCAAATATTTAGTAGAAATTTGAACTGTAGTGGATTTATCTAGGTGCCTGATAATCAGTGCAGGAAATGGATTATTTTATTGACAAAACAGATTGTTTTCTTTAAGGCAATGCTTATATTAAACATTATGATTGCGGTCGATAACATTTATGGTTCGTTGATTACAGTTATGTTCTTTGCTCCTTTTAGATTTTTTAAAAACATTTATCATTTGATTTTCCATGCGCACACGCTATCTACGTTCAATGGATTTGAGTACTAGTGAAACCTTAATGCTTTCTGTATGAAGTGTTGGCTTGCGGCGGATAGATGGCACTACGAAGTTCACAAAAACAAGCAAAAAAATTAGTCGAGTTTACCGATTGTATAATATATAAAAAAATATATAGAAAAACAATTTAGAATCGACAAAACAGAGGGAGAAAAATACATAAGTCCGTACACACAGAGATAAGAAAAAAGGTGTACAAAGCAAAGAAGAAATTGTAAGAGAATGAAGAGGTAGAACAATTAAAAGTAATACTTTGCTAAATGATAATTTTAAGCCAGAGAAATACGATGGCTAAAATCAGTTAATGTCATATACTTACAGTAAGGTCTCTTTTTATGAGAATTGTTTTTATGCGATTTTTAAGTTGTGCGGTTTGTATTTTATCTAAAATTTTTTATTATTATCTATTATAATTAAATATTAACTATTCACAACCAGATATCAGTAAAGTGAGCCTTTGCAATTCTGGGATTCTCTTGTTACATGATGTCTCTATTACATCATTGCGACTCTCGAATTGAAAGGTATAACCTGTTATTGTTTTAATCCTTAGGAGAAGGATCTACGGCAATTATAAAACATTTTAATTTAGGCGAATCAACTGCAAGAGCAATTAAGGAGAATGAAATTGCCATAAGAAAATCTATAATTTCTGGTACAAAATTTAGCGTCAAATTCTCATCTCACTCAAGGGATGTATTACTAGAAAAATCAGAAAGAGCCAACGCAATTTGGATTAAGGAAATAATTCAAAGAAGAATTTCTGTAAGTGGTTATTTAATCCAGGAAAAAGCTCATCAGTTTTATGAGTTAATGAAACAGTCAGATTTACCAACTTCAACTTCCTAAGCTGGTAAAAAATTTTTAGCTAGCAAAGGATGGCTAATCGGTATATAAAAAGAAATAAATTTCATATTATCAAGACTCGATACAAATGACAGTATCGACCAGAGTCATCGAGCAAAAAGACAAAAGAGGGAATCTAATCGTTATGAAAAGGAGACCAAAAAAGTGGCCTCTGATGGCGGACATATCCGGAAATGCAAAGGCGCTAAATTTAAAATTTCCGACACTTATTAACAATAGCTATAAAATATTTTTCAGACGAGAAAGTTTTAATTAAATAAAAACGATAATAGTCTAAAAAGTGACACAATTGGTAAAAAAACTTCAATATAAATAAAATTTCATGTGACAGTTGGGACAAATAATAACATAACCAAACTAAATTTGATTTCTTAAACAAGGAAAGAGACTGTCTTTCCTTGTTTAAAGTGGCCTCTCAAGATAGCACTTCCTGTCTAACAATATTTTTGTTCCCACTACCTTTACATTCCCTCTTTTGTCTTTTTGCTCGATGACCAGAGTGCGATTTAAAATTGAGAACTTCATCGTCGAGACAATCAACCACTCCATTCCAATGAAAACCTTACAATCATTCTCTCCGGCACTTCCACAATACATCATTGCCAAAATACAACAAGACGGCTTTTACGTCAATACAAGATCAACAGAGACCCCCTAATCAAAACAGAATTAAACCGCATTTCTGCTAGAATCAATAGGGAAATATCTACCATACAGGTTCTCTACTGCGAAGATACTACCTCTAAGCTAGAATACAGACATAGGGCTAAGTTCAGGAACAAATTCAAATTTCTAACAAAACAAAAATCTTCTCAACCATCATATTTGTTGATCGACAACCAAATAATCAGCTCCCCGGAGATAAAAAACAAAAATTTTGTCTAAAAATTCCCAAAAATATAAACTCGATATAGAAATTAAGCAATTTTATAATGATCAAAAGCATACAGCCTTCTATAAATAAAATAAAATCAGTATTGTAGGTAATGTTATGATGATCAGCAAATTATCATAAATAATTTGAATGCCAAAGTAGGCAAAGAAAGATTTTAAGTCACTCCAAATAGCACATTGCAATTCAAACTATCACCTACTAGCAGTATTCTCTCTGGAGAACTGTACTCGATTCTACAAGCATTAATTCACATAAACAACCACAATATCTCAAAGACCCTGATAATTACTGACTCTCTTAGTGCATTACATTCAATCCAACAGCTCTATACCAGTAACCCTATCGTTCACCTGATACAATATCAATTACACCTTATAAACCAGGCAAAACAGCAAATTCGTTTTTTCTGGGTTCCATCACACACTGATTTGGGAGGCAATGAAAAAGCGGATTATTACGCTCGTGAAGCAATAAAAAGTGCATCATCAATAACAGTGAATACAGTGTCTGTGTCGGATTTTAAATCACTCGTAAAAAAGAAAGTGCTAAGTGAATGGGGAAATAAATG